CTTTAGTAGGTGGGTCCTAGTGGAAGGTAATTAGGCCACTGGGTGTGCCCTTTCGGTCTCTCTCTTTGAATCTCCCCTGCCATGAGGTGAACAAGCCTCTTCTACCACATGCTCCCTGCCATGATGTTCTTCCACCTCATCACAGGCTCCAAAACAATGGAGCCAACTGATCACAGACCAAAACCTTTGAAACCATAAGCCAAAATGAAACTTTTCTCCTTTTAGGTAAACTTTCTCAGGCATTTAGTCACAATGATGGAAAGCTGACTAACATATGCACACTAAAATATTTTGAGATATAGTATAATAACAGCAAATTCAAAGAGACTTGGCCAACATTCAGTACCAGTGAGGAACAGTAAAAAAATCAAACTATTCACTGGTTTCATTTAAGGCTTACACAATTGAAGAATCCAAAAGATGGAAAGGAAGGAGCAGAAAAGTGCTTATTTAAAACTTTCACAGTTTATGCTTATATCCTTTTGCCTATATACAGTCAGGAACCTTTGTTTATTTGATCAGGGCTCAAGCTCCATTTCTCTTTCATTTTCTTGGTCACAAGATGACTGCTCTCAGCAGTAAGGACCACATGCATTCTTATTCACTTCAAGGTAGAGAAAAGGAGTCATACTTCACAATTCTGAGGTTAAAGTCTTGTGATTGGTGTTGATTTGCCTAATCCTAAACAATTTCTTTTGGTCAGAGAACAAGCTAGGTTGGGATCAGATCGTCTGGATTGCAGCATCTTTAGAGACCAAAGTGAGGTTAATTTCCCCAAAACTTCTCAGGAGTGTGCTGCACAACATGAGAAGAATAGAATAAGTGCTGGGAATGCAACTTCAATGTCCACTACAATCATTTTCAAAGTGTATAAATGTATGATAACTATTCTATTCTGTTAGTTGGAGGTAAACAAGTACACAAGCAAACAACGAGATCTAAGTATATATCTAAGTAATACAGAGTATGATTGCATTTTTGATGTGTTACTATTGACAACTTTCAAGCCCAGTCCCTAATTTGTTGTACCACATCTGGGCAAGATATAAGAAAGCCTGGGTGTTCCCTATTTTGGTGCCAATAGGAAATTCAAACCATATAAACCTAGTCCCCTGTATGGGAATTTTTACCCAAGCTTTATGATATGAAAAAAAAAAACACCCAAATCTTCTCCCCTAGTCTCTCAAGAGGTTTTTAGACCTGCTTGGGGAGTTCTGCCCTGCAATTCCTAGAAAGCCTCATTATGTGAGTAATAAACCTTGACACTCTTGGTGCATATGTGGTATTATTGCAACTCTTAAAATATAACTGAATTTTGAGTATGGTTGATTTTTTTCTTGTGGGTGACTATAGCAGCACACAAAGTACAGTGGCAGTAAACTGAAATTAGTGTAGTCCTCCAGCTATAGTCTAAATAGGCCCCCTGTCTCAAATCCATATCTTGAAACCTAATCACCAATATAATGGTATTAGGAGATGGGTACATTGGGAGGTGATTCATGAATTAGTTCACTGCCCTTATAAGAAAGGTATCAGAAAATTACCTTCCTTCTTCCAAGGACACGATAAGGTGTCATCTACAAACCAGGAAATAGGCCCTCACCAGGCATCACATATTTTGGCACTTTGATCTTTGAATTCCCAACCTTCAGAGCTTTTGTTTTTAAGCTACCTAGAATTTTGTTATAATGGTCTTAATCAACTAAGAAACTATCATTGTAATATTTCCTTATTTATCACCATCTATCCAAGCTGGTGATCTATGCTGGGTTCACAAAATCTGACTATTCCAGTAACTTAAGAAAATGGTGAAGAAAGCATGCAAACACACAGAAGTATCTCTTCAAAATCTGGGGACAACTCTATGATCTTAGAGTCAGTGGAAAGGGAGAAAGCCACTGGAATTCTTCTTATATAAGGGACACATAAGGGAGGTTCCCTGGAACATTCTACCCCCAAAGGGCAAAAGGATAGGATTACAAAGGAACAGGTGGGTATAGTTCAACTCCATCTGGTGACGCCCACTCCTGGAGCTATACCTCATTATTCTAGCGGAGGTAAGGTCCAACATATTGTGGGGTGCAATATCTGTTCAGTACCTTAAAGGTACTGTTCAGGACTTAAAGGTATGTACATAGCTCCTGTCCAGAGCGGCTCCCAACACTTAATATTCTCACCAAACATACCATCTTACCCTGAGTCTCCTACCTGTTTGATTAGCTTCAGATTCCTGAAACATCTTCAGTTCCTTCTTTTTTTCTGCCCACATGCCTTTAATACTCTTCACCAACTTCTTAGCTACCACTTTGGCTCAGGTCTTCATAATTGCCTCATTCTGGTTATTTCGTATCTTCTAACTGATTTCTGTGTTTATAGTCTTCACCTCTCTCTTACCCAACAATCCATCCTCTACACTTCTATTTGAAGTAATTCTTCTCAACATTGATGAAATAATTCAGAAATTTTCCATTGTCTTTGGAATACGGTTCAAATTCCTTAGCACAGTTTGTAAAATTCTTCATTATTTTGCCCCATGTACATTTTCCATTTCTCCTGCCACATTCCCACATATCACCATCTTTGCTTTTATACCTACCTACAAAATATACTAACCTCCACAGTGCTGACACAAGGAAATAAATCCTTTGTCTGGAGCATGGTCATGTCTCTCCATAGCTGGCTGATTCCTACTGATTCTTCAAAATATGTCTTGAGTTTTACAGACAATGAGAAGTACTTCCTGTTTAGCCTTGGTAGAGTGAAATGCTCTTTCTTCATATTTTCACAGTAAACTTGATTTCAGTGTAATCACTACAATATCTGATTTGATTGTATCTTTCTCCACATTTGATACTCTTGAGGACAGTGCACCATGTTTCTCATCTCAGCAGGTCCCAATTTTTATGAGGGTGATTGGACTGCAGACAGATATATAACAAAGATAAGTTATAATATCAGATAGCTTATAAAAAGTGCACTGAAAAGTAATAGATACATGTATTCTAGAGGAGTCTAAGAAAAGACACAGTGGAAAAATTAGAGCCCTGTGTACTGGGAATATAGTACAGGCACTTGGGAAAGCAGGAAGATTCTCAAATGGTAATTCCACTGGGTCACTTGGTAACTCTGTGAATATACTAAATACATTGGTTTGTACACTTAAATAAGAAAACAAATACAGCGATTACTGTAGGGAAGAGATTTCATAGAGGTGGTGAGATTTGGATGCACTGATACACAAGTGATATGAAAAGCAGAGGTGGTATGCTGTAAAGAATGAACATTAAATCTTCTTGGTGGACAGATCTGGCTCTGCCACTGGTTAAGTCTCCCTAAATCTGTATTCTCAACGAAAGAGTGAACATGTTAATATACCTGATTTATAGCCTTATTGTGATGACAAATTAAATAATGGAAGGAAAATATTAAGCCTAATGGCAGGGACAGAGTAAATGGTCAATAAATATTAATTATTAGTATTTGATTCTGGATGTGTTTAATACTAAGTTTTGGATTATGTGGATAAGCATGTAAACACTGCAAAAGAAACTCCCAGAAACTATCTGAAATTTCAAGCAGGAAGAGATATGAGAGACAAAATGATATAAAGGGAATTACACTCAGGTTAAGCAACATTTATTGAATATTTTTTTTTTCTGATTATTAGACACTATGCTAGAAAGATGAATGAGAAGTAGATTGCTGGATGTACAAATGAGAAGTGGTCCTTGACTTGATGGTCCAGTAGGCAGGTAAACAAATATGTCTAAGAAAGCATTGTGTTTCCTCTAATATTGATTGAATGTACAAAGAAGAGGGTGATCTGGAAAAAGGGTATAGAAGAGGTGCTCTGCTCAGTATTGGAAATTCTCATTAATGTCTGAGGCCCACAATTACTGGATGTTTGTCAGTATCTTGCTGATATTTTCCACTTCCAGTTCAGATTAGAGATTACAGATTTGAGTCTATTTATTGAGTGGAAAGAAGAGAAAAATAATGCCCAAGATGTTCAAGAATGCTTTTTATAAAAGTGTATGAATATTCTGGAGATTTATGCTCCAAGTACCCAGGTTCCTACATTGTAATATCTTGAAAGCAAAGATTTTGAGTGTGTCTTGTCTTGCATTGTTACCATGTGACCCAGAAAAGGATAGTGTATACTTAATAAAAAATTATAAAGTGACTGTTCTTCAAATCTCTCCCATAGCAAAAGCAAAGACTTTAACAAGTATGCTGCCTCTTTGTTACTTACAGCTATTGACATTCGGCAACAGCCAAGTCTACATACCTATTCTTCCTTGGAAATAAAAGTCTGTCAATTGTGTTATTTTTTTTTTTTTTTCCTTTTTCTTCAGGAGAATCTATTTGACAGCTTTGAAAAAAGGAATGACTGTCTCTGTGACAGAGATGGCATGCATGACTTGCTGTTATCTGGAGTTGAGGATAAGAACAAAATTCCTTCTAGAGCAGAATTCTTTCACATTAGTAGTGATCTGGAGAGGTTCTTAGCTTAGGTGCATCCTGGTGCTTTAGAGTCCAGATATGTAAAGGTGAGGGGGAGAACTCATTGCATTTACTACATAAATGTTGGACACTTTGCTTAGTTTCCACGGTTTTGTCTTTATTGTTGTTTTGTTTTTTGAATTCAGCTTGGAAGTGGTGAAGTGATGGGGTGGGGGAAAGGGATCTTCTCCCAACCAATCCTAGCTTTCCAGATGGGAGAGACATTGTGATTTGGTTTTATTTTTCTATGATATTTAGTCCCACAAACAGGGCTTGTCCTCAAGAGGAATGAGAAGCTGTACTTAACAGGACTTGGGTCTGGGTAATGCCTTCAGAAGAAAAACCCTCTGAGGATAAGCCAAACCAAGGGTGGACTGGGTTCCTAGGCCCCCAGGCTCAGGGCCACGTGACTCGCGCGTGTGCCTTGAGTGACAGCGCGCAGGCTTGGGCGGGCCTTAGTGGAAATCAACTTCCGGGGGCAGAGGTGTTCCAAGGCGGGTGGTGCGTGGGTTGCCCCAAGTTGGGTTCTTGGGGCCTCAGTTTCCCCCGAGGGTCTGGGGTCTTGTCGGGGTGTGTATTTGCGGGTCTGTGTCCTGGGGGTGGCTCACCCGGCAGCGGCTTGGCGGCGGCGGCGGCAGCGAGCGAGAGCGGGGAGCAGGTAAAAGAACGCTCGCCTTCCGGGCCTGGGTCTAGGGGCCGGGGCTCCGCGAGGCCGGCGGGGAGCAACCCGTTAGGGCTGTGAGGGCGGCGGAGCTTCTGCCGCCCGCCAGCTGTGGCTTCGCCCCCGGCGGTCGCCGCGACCCCGAGTCTGGAGGCGTGACCCGCCTCGGACGGGAAGGAAACCTGGCTGCCCGGACTAGGAGTGCAGACCGGTTTCTTTGCTCGCCGGCAGGCTTTGGCACCTGCACGTTGCAGAGTTGAGTGTTTTGGAAAGTCTACGCACAAGTACACGTGATTATTGTGTCACCGAAGCGCCCACCGATAGGATGCTTTGATCCTTGCCTAGGTGTCACTGTCCACGCCAGATTTAGGTTTCCTTTTACTTTGCCAAGCCCCGCGGGATAAAAGCTCTGTTGGGTCCGCCAGCTACATTTCCTTAAAGTGACTTGGGCCACACGTTGCAGTAAAAGTGGCACTTTGGGGTTAAGGCTGGAGCGAGTACTTTTGCCAAGTGGTCAGATATCCTCCATCACCCAAAGCGCGACCCCCAGGCCACATAATAAAAATATTTCCTCCATCTGCGCTTGTCACCTACCGCGGAGGAAAGCTTTGGACACGAAACCTAATTTTTGCCTTACTTTTAAGTCTATTAAAAGCAGCGCTGAGTGTTTTTTTGGTAGGATGGTGTTGCCGCTGCTACTCTCACTTGCTTCCCTGTTGAGAGTTGGGGCTGAGCCTGATTTCCTGGAGGGTAAAGTCTTGGCCACAACTGTAGGTGACTCAGCGGCCCCTTTTGAATTCCCACTCTTTCCTTCCCTCCTCCTCTCAACTGTGCAGATACTGATGCCATCTTCGTCTTCAGATATTTATCCTGGCAGGAGTTGATTGATGGTTTTTGAAGCAGTTTGCATGTTGTGTGATGGAACTCTTGGGGTGGGCTGATATTTCATCTTATCATTAGTTGGGCTAACATTTCACCTTACAATGTAAGGCAAAAACAGGAATTGATAGGATGCTGTCCGTCATTTGGAGAACTCTGCACTTATGATTACTGCTGGTACAATTTGTTAAAGAGTCTTGGCTGCACTGTACCTGTTAGGTAAATGGAGCAACGGGGGTGCCAAGCAGAGTACACCTGCGTGGTGTGCCTTGACCAGTATATTGTGTGGTATAAAATTGCCCTGGTTACAAAGTTTGGTAACCTCCAGACTGGCTAGGAGGTAGTTCTGTGGGCTGGGAAATCTTATTGCAAACTGGTTTCCCAGCAACAGTATAAGCCAAATGGAATAAACATAAAGAAAACACAGTGATGAAAGTTACAACTTACTTCTTAACTTTTATTAAATGGAAAATGTATGTGCTTATTGCAATGCTTAGCTCAAAACCGCTGAGATTTTTTAAATCATCTTAATATTTAATAACATACAAAACTGCATAAAATCATCACAAAAGGACATCATCATCATCATCATCATCATCATTATTGTATTTTGGTGGCAGATAAAAATGAGAAGATGGTTAGCTATTAGCTTGTGTGGACCTTAAAGGGACAAACAGGAATTTGTCTGATGAGGCATTTTACAGATTCCCCAGCTCTTGTAAGATTTGTAAAGTACATAGAACTGTTACGAATAAAGAAAGCCATTTAAAGACAGGATCTTTCTCTGAAGTTATTGGGAAAGGATTGAGGTGGATAAGATGTTTCCATTTAGTAAAAGGAAGGAGGAATGTTCAGGTAAATTGTTTCTAAACACTAGCTTATAATCACCATCACCTTTATTAACCTGTTCCTTCTGTTCTTTCTTGAAAGCGGATCAAACAATGAGAATTTTAGAATTTTAAAAAGGTGGTGACTTTCTTTAGGTTAACTCTGTGTATCAATGTACATCTGTTCGTATGTACTAATAAAATTTTAAAATTTGCAATATTTTAAGGATATTTTTGGTTTAAGGAACAGTTTCTCTACTGTTCTTTCTTGCCTTACTCTTGTAATACAGTAAACTGGATTTAACAAATTTAATTCAATGTGCTTTTTTTTCCAAAGGACATACTTCTTTTAAAATTTAGGCACATTGAGATGTAATTTACAACAAATAAAAAGTAATTTTTAGTATTCATCATTGTATATACTCTGAAAAATATGTTTAAAGCACCAACACACTCTAGACAAATAACATTTGCATCATTCCAGTCCCCTCCTTTTTATTTTTAATTTTGAGACAGGGCTTTACTAAGTTGTGGAGGGCCTCAATAAGTTGCTGAGGCTGGCTTTGAACTTGGGATCCTCCTGCCTCAGCCTCCTAAGCCTCTGGGATTATACCATGACTTTTTTTTTTTTTTTAATTCAATATGAAATCTCCCTGTGTTGCCCAGCTTGGGCTTGAACTCACATCTTTCATTCTTAGCCTTGTATGTTTATTTTGAATCTATTAATTTTATTTATTTATTTATTTTTTTCACTTGTATCTCCTTTTTTTTTTTTAATTGGTTGTTCAAAACATTACAATGCTCTTGACATATCATATTTCATACATTTGATTCAAGTGGGTTATGAACTCCCGTTTTTACCACGTGAATCTATTAATTTTAATGATTAGAATAAACTCACTAAAAATTAATAAATAAGGTATCAGTACTTCTGAAGTGTTTGCTCAAATTTATGCCTTTTATGACTTTCTTTTCTTTTTTTTTTTTTTTTAGGGGAGGGGGGGGGGGAGAGAGAGAGAGGAATTTTAATATTTATTTTTTAGTTTTCGGCGGACACAACATCTTTGTATGTGGTGCTGAGGATTGAGCCCGGGCCGCACACATGCCAGGCGAGCGTGCTACGGCTTGAGCCACATCCCCAGCCCCAGACTTTCTTTATTTTCTAATTTTAAATTAGTTTAAACATTTGACCTATACTATCTTTCTTCTACTGTCAATTCCCCAATACAAAGATTTCTGTTGGCCGTGTATGATAGAATCTCACTTAAAGAATTAGAAACATGCTGTCACAAGCAGAGGATACAACACTTTTTAAAAATTTTTGAAATGTGAAGAATTTTTGATTGTAACAGGTTTAATACATGAAGATTAGAGATAATGTTATCTACTTTAAAATGCATCATGTTAAAATTCTAGTAAGCCTGTGTGTTTTCCTTTAAAGTATATGTACATTTTGGTATTTATGTATTGCATTTCAACACAGGACTACCTATATGAATAAAACACTTATTTTGTGAAGTGTGAAACCATTTTTCCCTTGTGTAATTATCTTTTTTTTTTTTTTTAAAGATAATCCCAGAGGAGGATGACTTTCTTTTCCTTTTGCCATCTCCTTCCAGAAATAGGCCTAGATAATGGAAATGGAAAGACCAGCCAAATTGCTTTTTGTATTGTGTCTACCCCTGTGATAAAAGATCAGCTTTACATGATCACTTCAAAAAGTTGCTTTAATTTTATGAGAGTTCAGAACTGCAGTTATAGTAAAGATAGTGCTATGTACTCTGCAAGATCCATTATATGCTTCAAGAATATGCTTCAATGGTAGATGGAGGTGTATATGAATATTATTATGGATGGTTAGGTATCAGTAAACGATAGTGATTAAATGTGAGATTAAGTATCATTTTAATTATGAATTTAATAAACACTACTTAAAATGAGATTATATATTTTGTTCAATTTGCCCAAATTGGGCATGAAAACCAAACGAAGCCTGCAAAAACTGAACAGCATAAAGATGCTACCCGGAATCAGATGACAAGTTGAAATGAATACTTCTATTTTATTCTACTGAATGCTTAAAATTGGTAATAGTTTTCATGAGATAGATGTTTTATCTATCGTCTGTTAATAGCTTATTAACTTCTCTTTTTATCCATATTACTGATTTTTTTTTTTTGGACTAGAAAAAGTGACAGTGTTTAAAACTTTATTTTTCTGATTTTTACAAAAACATTGACCAGATAAACCCGTTGGCAGATTCCTGCCAGGACCTTGTAAAAATTGTTGCAAATGAGGTCAGGGAACTTGAGCTTCATTTGACATCAAGGTAAATCTGTCTCTACTGAAAACTGTGATAAGCCTATAAAATTGCTCTGCCTGTCTTTCCTCAATAAATCAATCCATTGCTCAGTAATTGGTAAACTATAAACATTTGGAAAGAAAAAGTAGAAGAAGTTATAGAATGATGCCAGATTATGGTTCACTGTGAGCATCATCTAAACCATCCAAACAGTGGTAAACAAATGCAAGTCTTAACAGAGACAGATGGACATTTTGTTCTTTTATTCATCAACAATTTGTTTATAAAAATTAAGAAATGTTAAAAGGCTGATAATATATAAATGTTGTTTGCTAAATATAATTGTGGGACTAAAAGTAAAGTACTCCCCAAAATGGAATACATATAACACTTAATTTTATATTTTGGAAAATAGTCATTGATAAAAGAAAAAGAGCCATGATCCAGAAAACAATAAAAGGAACTTTTAAAAGCAAATACAATATGATGTAATTTTTGCTAAAATTGGTTCATAGATACATAGGAAACATTTTTTTAAGGTTTCTATCAAAATATTAGCAAAGGTTATCACTAAAGCATACCATTAAGAGTACTTTGGAATTTAATGTGGTCATTTTTCTTTGAAAAATTGCATATACTACATGTATTGCTTGTTGAAATTTGTTGTGCAATTATAAAGCCATTATATTTAAAAACATAATATACTGATGCTCAGCATGTAAGTGACAAAATAATATACCACACTCATATAATAGAAAACTATTTTCATTCACATAAACTTCTTGCTATTCAGATTTTTTATATTCATTTGACTCTAGTTTCAAATTCATAGCATTACTATAAGTCTTGATGAGTCCATGAGTTTTCTGATAATTTTTAACTCAATCTTTTTTTTTTTATTTATTTTTTTTATTGGTTGTTCAAAACATTACAAAGCTCTTGACATATCATATTTCATACATTACATTCAAGTTGGTTAT